CACATAGTTGACAGCGGTTCAAGTCCCGGACCTGGTGGCTTAAACTCACGCCAGGCGCGTGTGCATGTGTGCCCAAGATCCCGAGAGGAGACTGGAGGAGAAGGGATTGCGGCGTGGCCATCTCCCTGGGGGTGGGGGTGGGGGTGATTTCTTGCTTTCTGTTCCTCTGTCTGTCTTTCTGGCGAGTGCACGCGTTCTATAGCAAAAACCTCTCCCCCCAAAAAGAAACAAAGAAACGCATCGCCACATGTGACGTATGGACTTTGGATCCTGGCTTGAACATACTACTCCTTAAAAGAGGTTACTGCGGGGCCAGCAGATGCTGTAATGCTTACATCGCTGGACTCCCACATAGTTGACATCAGTTCGAGTTCCAGGCCCTGCCGCTTAAAACCTATGCTGGGTACATGTGCGTTCATGCCCAAAATCCCGAGAGGAGGCTGGAGGAGAAGAGATTGTGGTGTGGCCATGCCCACCCAGGGTAATTTCTCGTTTTCTGTCTCTCCATCTCTTGGGTGAATGCATGAGCCCTATAGCAAAAATATCTCTTAAAAAAAGAAAATCAGTAAAAATGTTTTTTTTTGTCAGAGGCATATGTGTTTGCCCGAGAGAGACAGAGAGAGCGTGAAAGGGAAACAGCAACCCCTAATGGGCGGTATCATACCGCAATCCCTTCTCCATTTCTCCATCCTGTTGGGATTTGAACCACGCAGCCCCAGGGGCCTGCATTCCAACTACCCAGTCTGCCCTGTAGGATCTGCTTCCCTTAAGCACCAGGCCATGGGTTGACCCTCTTTGTACATATTTTATTCACCAGAGGTGAATCAGAAACTGCAAGGCCTAACAATATGACTTAATCAAAGTACAGGAGATAGTACATTTTTTACAGGTTTGATATGGAAAAATTGCAATTCACTTCTCCAGAAAAGATGGACCGATCTGACTTAACTAAAATGAGAAGTAAGCCATAGACTTGGATGAGAGATATGCAACATTTGTAACAAGTAATTCATATTCAAAGTATAAAGAGCGCCTGGAAGACAACAAGAAAAAACCGAGCCCACCAGAGAAATTGGCTTAGAATACTCCAGTAAACACTGGTCATCTCTATTGTAGGCACTTCCTTATTACATGCAAATTCAGGGGTGCAAGGAGACAAAGCGGCATAGCCTCCCTCTTGCCCCCCTGGAGTAGCTGGGGCTGGGCAAATCAAAGGCACTGGCCTCTGGGCCATCTGTCCCTGCACTTGCAATCTTTAGTGTAGGAGGCAAATTTGCAGTCGCAGTGGACAGGGTCTTGTTTGCCTGTTTGCAGGGTGTGTGTGCTTACCAGAGAGAAACAGAGACAGGGAAAGTGAGAAAGCACCCCTGCTGGGGGGGCAGAGAACCAGCCCGTGATCTCTTCTTCATGCTCCTCTTAGGATTTTGGGGACCCACGCACCTGTTTTTTTTTCTTTTTTTAATTATTTGATTTAACTTTATTTACTTATTTTAATTTGACCAAGGGGTGGGGGAGAGAGAGAGCACAAACCGCCAGGTCTGGCACTTGAACCTCAGTCAGCCATGTGGGAGCCCAGCACCCTTAACCACCACGCCACCTGCCAGCCCCCAACATGCACCTGTTTTTTTTTTCCTGAGAGGTTCTTCCTATAGAGCGCGTGTACGTTCGCCAGAAAGACAGAGACAGAGAGACACAAAGCGAGAAATCACCCCCCAGGGGAGATGGCCATGCCACAATCCCTTCTCCTCCATTCTCCTCTTGGGATCTTGGGCACTCACGCACATGTGCCTGGCGTAAGTTTAAGCCGCCGGGTCCGGGACTTGAACTGCAGTCGACTACATGGGAGTCCAGCAACATAGCCATTACACTAACTGCTGGTCCCCGTGCACCTGTTTTTTTAAGCCGCCAGATCTGGGACTCAAATTGCACAGTTAGCCATACAGGATCCAGCGCCTCAGTCACCATGCCACCCACAGGCCCAGAGAGTCATGTTTAAGGTCCCTAAGAAATTAAGAAATACAGGGACCAGCAGTTAGTGTAATGGCTATGTTGCTGGACTCCCATGTAGTCGACTGCAGTTCAAGTCCCGGACCCGGCGGCTTAAACTTACGCCAGGCACATGTGCGTGAGTGCCCAAGATCCCAAGAGGAGAATGGAGGAGAAGGGATTGCGGCGTGGCCATCCCCCCTGGGGGGTGATTTCTTGCTTTCTGTCTCTCTGTCTCTGTCTGTCTGGTGAGCACACGCGCCCTATAGCGAAAACCTCTCCAAAAAAAAAATTAAGAAGTACAAGCCTTATGATCCCACCTCTGTAACCCCTGCAACCCCCCTTCCCTCCTCCCCCACTATAGCTACATAGCTCCTTAACTCACACAGCGGATACTGCTTTTCTCTTACGTGCTCATTCAGTGCTCCCCCATGAGCTCTTTCCATTGCGCAGACTTCTCCGGCTCCTCTCCAGATGGTCTGGTTTTTCTCTTTATTGTCTCAAGTCAGCTTTGGGGTATGAAGGAGGGATCACGCATGGAACAGGGGTATGGCCGATCAGTAAGGACTGCAGAAATGGAGAAGGTAGAAGCTTGCCACAGCGTTAAAAAATGATTTACTTAATTTTATCTGTTATTATTTAAAAAAAAAATTTGCTATAGGGCACGAGAGAGATAGAGAGAGAGAGAGAGAGAGAGAGAGAGAAAGTTGCTAGGTTAGGAACTTGAACAGTTGGCCATGTGGGAGTCCAGCGCTCCAGCTACCACACCACCTGCTGGCCCCTTGTCACAGCTTTTAAAGAAAAGGATGGGACCAGAAGGTGGCATAGTGGTTAAGGATCTGGACTCCCACATGGCTGGTCATGGTTCAAGTTCTGGACCTGGGAGCTTGCTTTCTCACTTTCACTCTCTTTCTCTCATCTCTGTCTGGTGAGTGCATGTACCATATAACCAGTTTAAATAAATTAATTTATTAATTTAAAGAGAGAAGAGTAAGATACCCGAGGCTGAAGATCTCAGTACAGTTGGGTTACAGGGGAATGTGTGCGCGTGTGTACGCATACCTAAGTGTGTATAACACGCACATGTTGGGAAGAGTCAGAGGAGAAGAAACCATGTCCATCGGGGGTTCTGATTCAGTTCTCCAGAGGGCAGTGTAGCCATTCCCGCCTGTCCATAGCCCTGCGTGGAGGACTGTCCCACAGAGGCACTCTCTCCCCCGACCAGGAGCAACTCGAAGCCCCGACTCTAGTCCGGATGCGTGCCGGCCTTGCTCAGCAGCTGTGCAGAGGTTGGTGTGATGTTTCTTGGCAGTAGGGAAACCAACTGCTTCAAGTGATTATCCTAACGCCGTTGTCTCGAGATGAGTCACAGTCCGATAGGGGTATCTTAGCTTTAGCGTCTCCCAAAATCACAGCCTGAGCGAAGAACTTGAAGGAGTTTAAAAAAATATTTTTTAGGTTTTTGCCAAAGGACATGTGCACTTGTTGGGGAGTGACAGAGAGAGGGAAGTGAGACATCACCACCACCCCAGTGGGGGAGGACACACCCCAAACCCTTCTCCATCCTCTTCTGGGATTTTGGACATGCACGCATGTGTGCCTGGTATGATTTTCAAGCTGCTGGATCAGGGGCTCAAACCACGGTCATCCATGTGGGAGTCCAGTGCCATCTGCTAGTTCCTTGGAGGAAGTATTTTTTTTATTGAGGACTGAGCCGAGAAAGCAGGCGTGAAGGAGAGGAAGGGGTGAGCTGGAGACAGAAGACAGAGGGATGCTATGGCGGCTCACCAGTGTCTGCCACCGAATAGCCAGGCTAAGGGAGGGGCGGCTGGAGCGCTTACCCCCAGCTCCTGCTCCTTGTGGGTGTCAGCTCCCAGCAGGTCTGGCTGAGCAGGGTCCTCCCAGTGCTACGGGAAACTTCTGGGGCAGACGTGGCTGGAGCCTGAGGTTGACTGTTGGCAGCACAGGAGCAGTTTGAGTGCGTGGAGCTGTCCAGCTCTGTGGGGCTGAAATCAGTGGGTTGAGGGGAGGTGACGAGATTTAATGCTACGCGAAGTAAAGGTAATCAATCATTTCTTTTTTTTTTTTAAATTATTTAAAATATATTTATACATATTTATTTGTTAAAATAATTTTTTTTTTTTTTTGCTACAGGGCATGCGCGCTTGCCAGAAAGACAGAGAGACAGAGAGATAGAAAGCGAGAAGTCACCCGCTAGGGGGGATGGCCACATCACAATCCATTCTCCTCCATTCTCCTAGGGATCTTGAACACGCATGCACATGTGCCCGGTGTGAATTTAAGCCACTGGGTCCGGGACTCGAACCGCGGTAGACTACATGCGAGTCCAGTGACATAGCCATTACGCTAACTGCTGGTCCCTTATTTATTATTATTATTTTCCAACTTTCTACAGGGCACATGTGCTCACCAGAGAGAGACAGAGAGAAATGGAGAGAAAAGGAAAGTGACAAAGCAAGCCACCAGGTCTGGGCCATGTGGGAGTCCAGCACCATGCCACCTGTTGGCCCCAATCATTCACTTCTTCTTTGCTATCTTTTTCAATTCTGAATGCCTAGAATGATATTTCTCAAAAAACCTGGCAAGTGTAACATTTCATACTAATTAAAAAAGAAAGTGAATCGGTACAAAGGAAGTATGGCACCTCTTCTATGAAATTAAACCCCAAGAACTTCTCTCCCACCTGAAGTCACTTGTTTTACCATGAATAAATTCCTTGAAGTAGCTGCTGAATGAATATCGTCTATGGTGGGCTGCATCCTGCTTCCCACCATATCTGAACGCCCCTGACTGATTTGCTAAGTCTGACCGTTCAGTGACGTCTTTCCATCAGCTGGTTCCCTGCAGACCTTACCATCAAGTACAATACCTTCAGCGCGACACATGCCTTCAGTATAAGTTCCTTCCATATTCAGATGTTAAAATTATAGTGCTTATGCTGCCATTTCTGTCAGGGTAATAATAATAGGTATAAATAGCTCTCTTTCTGTAACCTGAAACTAACTAAAAAAGGAAAGAGACACTAAGATACCAAAATATTTCATACTTAAAGTCAAATGCATTTTGTTCTTTTCCGGGCAGCACAGAATACCGAAGTGTCTATGTGCTCACTATTTCTATTCCAAATCACCAGTTTGGGATGACCTTGGAGGATCCACTCACCCCCCACAGCGAGTCCCCCCAACATGATCCGATAAGTATCTTTCATGGTAGGGAAGGAGTGTTCTTGCTGACCTACAGGTTGACCAATGTAGGGGTGTTGGAGGAGAGAGAGGGCCCACTTTCTCGCCCATCTGCTCATGTTGGGGCCATATTGGTTACCTCGTGCCCACAGATGCCTACAGAAGGCCATTCAGATTTGCTTCTATGGGGAAGAAGTCACGGGAGAGGAGGAGGTGGAGGGACTCGATGTCCTATGACGGTATACAGAGGCTGCTGTTAGGAAAAAAGCAACTGACACATTCTGATGACAGATGGAAGAAAAAAACAAACCAACAAAACATGAAACAATGCAAATGAAACGTCCCGTGTGGAAATGCCATGCAAGCAGAAAGCTTCCCAAAAGTCCTCCAATCACTGGGACATTTTTTTTTTTTTGGTGGTGGGGAAGAGGATTTTGCTATAGGGCGCGTGCGCTCGCCAGAGAGACATAGAGACAGAAAGTGAGAAATCACCCCCCAGGGGGGATGGCCACACTGCAATCCCTTCTCCTCCATTCTCCTCTTAGGATCTTGGGCACGCACGAACACGCGCCTGGCGTGAATTTAAGCTAGCTAGCAGTCCCATTATTCGTTTTTTTTTTTTTTTTGGAGAGGCTTTTCGCTATAGGGCGCGTGCGCTCGCCAGACAGATAGAGAGACAGAGAGATAGAAAGCGAGAAATCACCCACAGGGGGGATGGTCACGCCGCAATCCCTTCTCCTCCATTCTCCTCTTGGGATCTTGGGCACGCACGCACATGCACCTGGCGTGAGTTTTAAGCCACCGGGTCCGGGATGCGAACTGCGGTCGACTACATGGGAGTCCAGAGACATAGCCATTACGCTAACTGCTGGTTCCCCCATTATTAGTTTTTTGACGTAGCGCACATATACTCACTGGAGAGAGACAGAGACGGAGAGAGATAGAGACAGAGACAGTGAGAGGGAAAGTGAGATATCACTCCCCAGGAGGATGGTCATACTGCAATCCCTTCTCCTTCACTATCCTCCTGGGATCTTCGGCACATGTGCCCAAGACTTTCAAGCCACAGGTCTGAGACTCAAACCACGGTTGACTACATGGGAGTCTGGCGACATAGCCATCACGCTAACTGCTGGTCCCTCCTCCCTGGATCTTGAGCACACATGCACACACGCGTGGCATGTTTTTTAATCTGCTGAGTCTGGGACTTGAACTGCACAGTTGGCCATATGAGATTTAGCTGTCTTAACATCCATGCCACCGGGACCAGCAGTTGGTGTAATGACTATGTATGGACTCCCATGTAGTTGACTGCGGTTTGCGTCCCGGACCCAGTGGCTTAAACTCACGCCAGGCGCATGTGTGTGCGTGCCCAAGATCCAGAGAGGAGTGTGGAGGAGAAGGGATTGCGGCATGGCCGTCCCCCCTGTGGGTGATTTCTTGCTTTCTATCTCTCTGTCTCTCTCTGTCTTTCTGGCAAGCGCACAGGACCTATAGCAAAAACTTCTCCAAAATAAACAAAACAAAACCAAACAAAACAACAACAACAACAAAAAATCCTTGCCACATGCTGGCCCCAGGATTTCTATTTACTTATGTCTTTATTTATTGAATAATTATTTATTTCATTTTACTTATTACTATTGTTATTATTTTAAATTTGACCAGAGAGACAGAGCGAGAGAAGGAAAGTGAGAAACAAGTCACCAGGTCCGGGACTCGAACCACAGTCAACCATGTGAGAGTCCAGTGCCTTAACCACCACGCCATCTGCCAGCCTCATATTTCTATTTCTTATTGAGTCATTTTTGGAAAGTTATATTTTTTCTAGTGATTTGTGTATTTTGTTTATGTCATCAAATACACTATTTCAATGTCATTTATGTAAGTCTATTTTCTTTTTAATCTCTATTGTACCTGGAGTTATGTCCTTTTTTAAATTCCCTTTCTTCCCTTTGATTAGTGTTCTTGGATTATGACAATTTCAAAGTAACAACTTTTGGGGTCAGAAGGTGGCATGGTAGTAGAGGTTCTGGACTCCCACATGGCTGACTGCAGTTCGAGTCTCAGACATGGTGGCTTGCTTTCTCACTTTTCCTCTCTTTTCCTCTGTCCCTCTCTAGTGAGCACAGATGTCCTATAGCAAATTTAAATAAATAAATAAATAAATACATCTTAAAAAAATGTAACTTTTGACTTCGCTGATTGTTTCTATTGTGTCTTTGTTTTCTGTTTAATTTTAATTCTCAGTTTTCTTCTCTCTTTTGCTCTTCCTTTGGGTTATCTGCTATTTTTCTAAGCTTTTAAAAAAGGATATTTAGGGACCAGCAGATGGTGTAATGGTTATGTTGCTGAACTCCCACATGGCTGACCGTGGTTTGAGTCCCGGACCTGGCAACTTCAAACTCTTGGCGGGCACGTGTGCATTTGTGCCAAAAATCCTGAGAAGAGGAGGAGAAGGGATTGTGGTGTGTTGGTCCTGTCTTGGGGTTGATTTCTTGCTTTTTGTCTCTCTGGCTCTCTCTGGGGAGTGCACATGCCCTATAGTAAAAAAAATCTCTTAAAAAAGAATATTTAATCTTTATGCTTTTCGAATATAAACACATAAGAACGTAAATGCTCTCCTGAGTTCTACTTTTGCTGTATCCCACACGTTTCGTGTAACATTGTACACTTTGGAATATTTTGATATATAAGATGTTAGAGTGGGTTTTTAGTTACCAGATCGTATAGGCATGTTTAAATTTCTTTATTTGTTGAGGGATTCTTACTACTGCATCGTTGGAGATCGCTTTCCTTCCATGAAAGGTGTCAAGACTTGCTTTATGGCCTGTTACTTGCTCAATTTATTGATCGGGCTGTTGGAAAAGTCATACTGCATTATCGTACAGAAAAGCAGAAAAACACGTCATGACTTTTCAGGCGACCCAAGAGTGTACACTAGGTCTTTAGAAAGTTCTTGGAAAATGTGTAGTGCCAAAAAACTAAGCTTGGGTTTCTAGGACTTATTGGACTAAAAGACACTTGTAGTTTAATTCCATTACTTCGTGAACTTTTTGAGGTACCCTTGTATATTCCTGTGTGTTTGAGTATAAGCATAATCTTTAATTATTTGGAGCAGGGTTTTATACATGTTATGAAATGAAGGTTTTAAATTATGTTTTTCAAATGATTGCACTATATATGTATGTGTGTATATAGAAATATATATATATATATTTACAAGAATGATTTATTTTAGAATTATTTACTTAATATTATCATTCTTCTTCTTCTTCTTCTTCTTCTTCTTCTTCTTCTTCTTCTTCTTCTTCTTTTGAGAGGTTTTAGCTATAGAGTGCATGCACTCTCACCAGAAAGACAAGAGAGAGACAGAGAGACAGAAAGTGAGAAATCACCCCCTGGGGGGAGGCCATGCCACAATCCCTTCTCCTCTCAGGATCTTGGGCACACACGCACATGTGCCCAGTGTGAGTTTAAGCCACTGGGTCTGGGACTTGAACCACAGTCTACTACGTGGGAGTCCAGCGACATAGCCATTACGCCAACTGCTGGTCCCATCATTATTATTTTTAAATTGGGTATAGGGCATGTATGTTCACGAGAGAGATAGAGAGAGAGAGAGAGAGAGAGAGAGAGAGAGAGAGGGAAAGTGAGAAAGCAAGCTGCCAGGTTTGAGACTCAAACCGTGGGTTGGCCACGTGTGAGTCCAGCACCTTAACCACCATGCCACCTGCTGGTCCCTGTATATATATTTTGATCTATGTATAATTACGAGTCATGTTGAAATCTTCCACTCTGATGGAGGATTTGTCAATTTCTCTCTGTAGTTCTAGCAAATTTTTCCTTTGTATTTGTTGAAGTCATTTCATTGAATTAATATAATTTCACAGTTGTTTTATCTTCCGGATGAATTGAATCTTTTATGATTATCTCTTCATCTTTAAAATGCTTTCCTGTGCAGCTGGTCCCATAGTCAGGGTTACTGGAGTTGGATCCCATATGGCTGAACATGGTTTAAATCCTGGCCCTGGTGGCTTGAGAATCACATCAGGTGTGTGTGTGCGCATGCATGCTCCAAACCTGACAGGGAGGAAAATGGAGAAGGGATTGCGACCTGACCGTGCCAGTTGGAGGTGCTTTCTCCCTTTCTCTCTCTCTCTCTCTGGCGAGTGCATGTGCCCTGTGGCAATTACATAAATGCTTTCCTGTGGCCCCAGTGCCACTGGCCAAGGTCCCGCTCCGGGGGCCTGGATGCAGTTGTGGGAACAGCAGCCAGGCTAGTGATGGTGTTCCAGGAGGACTGAGAATGCGGAGCCGAGACATATGGTGCGGAGAAGGGGGTAGAGTGTACAGGGTGGGCCTCCATGCACTGGGCCTATTAGCAGGGTGTGAGGGCATCCATGACAGCGGTCCTTCTAGGTGACCTGTTTCCTGCTCCTGATGTGGGACAACAGCCTGCTCGAGTGACATGCCAGGCTGGCGCAGCCGGATGGCAGTGTTGCTGGAGAAGGCGGGCACAGGAGGCAGGGCTACAGGGAGCGCGGCTACTTCCTGTATTAGTCAGAACTCCCTGTGTGGAAGAAACAGAAACAAAAAGAACGTATTGACTCATAAAACCAGACGCTGTGAAGGACAGGGACAGAGCTGATGTTTGAGCGTCCTGGAAAGAACCCAAATGCCTTCTGGATTCGTCTTTCTCCTCACATCGGCATCATTCTCAGACCTCCTTGTCCGGGAGGTCCCAACCGTGGCTGCTGGCAACGCTGCTTCAACACCTCAGTTCGCAAAAGGGACTTCCAATATAAGTGTGTCTG